ACAAATTCTTGATTGTACAAATTTATGCTAAAATGATTGTTTCTTCAATAACAAGGTATTTTATTTAGTGTCGAAGTGAAATTAAGAAACCGGTCTCTCCAGATGTTTTCTTATGTGCGGAGGGGGGGAATGAAATGTGCATGCGTAAAGCCTACAAGAAAAAAGTTGGTGGTGGTTTTCAGGTTCAGATTTTGGATCATTCAGGATAATGGACGTCCGGATTTCGGACTTTGTATTGTATCAAGACTTTGTATTTGTATTTCGGACTTTGTATTGTACTTTCAAATTTATTCAAGGTGTCCAAGAATGCAGAACACAATAATCATGTGTAGCTTGCAGCAAAAGAAAATATAATTCAAGACTGTTATTTTTAGTTCAAATATTTATAAAATCATTCAACTGATGGTATCACTTGTTTCCTATATTAAAAATCATAATATTTATCGTAATTCTGTTAAAATGATATTACTCAAAAAAGTCCTCGAAAAGCATCAATAAGATATATATGGAAGGATATTTCCATTGCCTCTGCCTAGCAGGAAATCTTTTCTCAGATATTCTTTTTTCTGCCACAAACATATAGCTGCCAACCTTGAAATATGCAAAACTGGAACTTTTTGCATTACACAACAACCCAGTGACCAGACTATCAGATGAACTTGAATAATATTTATATTGCATGATTCATATTACTGAACTAATTTTAATAAATTTCGGTACTATTCGGTTTCGAGGGCCGTAAAAAATCGCCAAACTATTGTTGATGCCAATGCTGCCAAAAATAATTGCGGCAACCCTATTAATTGCGGCAAGAAAGGAAGATAAGTAAAAACTATTTAAGATTAATGTTTAATTAGATAAAAGTAATTTCATAGAATACTTTTTATTTTATAATTTATATGAAAAACGCTAAACATGACTGAATGGAAGCATAAAAGTAAGTAACTATTTCAGATCATTATTACAATTTATATAAAAATTGCTAAACATAACTGAATGGATGCCTGCTTCGCTATTTCACTACCGACTTATCACTAAAGCATAATTTCATCTCGTTGGATGTTCAAACGTAATTTTCTATAACGAATGATTCCTTTTCTTTGAAAATATTCTCAGTAAAGTGCAGAATCGCTCACTTATTTGTTTGCCGCTTTTACAAGGGTAAAAACAAGTGGATTTTTGTCAATTTTCTTTTACTTTTTAAGTGAAAATAGGTCGATGTGTACATAGATAAAGTCAAGGGTGTTCGCAGTGCCATTTTTGTGTAATTCTATGTTGGAAAATATAACTTATTGTAAACCTTTTACTGCATCATCTTTCCTTCTTGAAATGTTATTTAGTTTAGTTCTTATTTTAATGTATAGTAGTTACTTCTACTTTTTTTCTTGCTGCCACTGTTTGCATGAGAACGGACTGTTTCAACCTAATTAGATTGTAAAAACGAAACTTGATGTTACGTCATCTGGAAAGATTCGTGTCGATAGCTGGATTGTTGCCGTGAGATGACGTCATGCCTACTTTGCTATAGTATCTCGCGTCGCTCTGGCTCAACCCTTCTAGTTCCTTCTTTCCTGGCACTTGAGTGAGCGGTTTCCAGCCCCTTCAAGGATGCATGCAGTCCGGTGATTAAAGTTCCTTGGTTCCTGTTTGCGGATGCTGTTCCTGATAAAGTTCCTTGGGCCTGTCCGCGGATGATTGTTTCGAATGAGTTCCTTGGTTCATATCATAAGATGATTGTTCCGAATAAAGTTCCTTGGTTCAGAGGCTACCATATGAGTGACTGCTGTGGTCGGCATCCATGTTCTTCAAAGGGCATTTAAAACACGTGAGCGGCGATTCCTCGTGCAACGGAGTTAGGCCGGTTTTAAGTGTTTTCAAGAACTGATTTAAATTTCAGGTGTTTTTTCTTGACCATTGATTATGGACTTATTGAATGTGTAGCCAGCTTCATTTTTAGGCCGCTTAATTACTGTTTAGGACATTTTATTGTATTGAATGCCAGTGTTTTGGAGACCAGGTAAAATATTATTGATGAATGATGGTTATATTATATTTTTCCTAAGACTCTGATATTGATTGAAATTTATTTTCTGTGTTTGTGTGTTTTATTATTTATTATATTGTTAATAAATTGGTTAAGTTCAAAATTTTTTATTGTCTTCAATGTCTGCACAACATATCTCAGGGAGCTTTTATTGCTACTACTGCTGAATGTTTAATTTTTTTCAAACTTTAAACTTTGCTTTAGCATCATTCTAAGATTTTTTTTAAGTGAAAATAGGTCGATGTGCACATGGATACCGAGTATGTGCAATTCTTAAAAACGTGTCAAGCAGTGGGTGACTCTGCACTTTACCCAAAATTCTATTGCCGACTTTTCATCATGGGCAATTCCCAAATTTTTAAATCCTAGGATATCAAAAAAGTATTTAAAATCAAAAAAGGATTTAAAAATAATAGTATTTCATGGCATTTTAGAAATCAGAACTATATAACTTACGCATCTGAATCGCGCTAGCTAGATTTGGCGCGCTGTTAAATGGGTGCGTTTGCTAGATTTGGCGCCTTTGCGCGTGCATTTTCGCTGCAACTTTTTTATGGCCCTCGAAACCGAATAGTACCTAAATTTCCAATGGAAAATATATTAACAATTAATTAGACATTTTTCATTTTATGTTCTTTGTTAATTTTATTTACTAATTTTCTAATACTTTCATACTGAAAAATCTTCAGCAGAGAAGCAAAGCTTTTAATCAAAGTGATTTTAAACATGGTGAAAATAAAATAAATAAATAATTCACATAGTCTTGAATGTAAATGAAATTCAATTTAATATTAACCGCAAACGATGGTTGAATCTTCATAAAATGTTCTACAAATGTCTAGAGTAGATTAAAACAATTTAGATGAAATAAAATTTTTAAGTAAAATTATACTTGAAGTCACTATGGTTGAGAATAAACTTGCACAATTTAAGTTTAATTAATTTAATAAATTTAATTTACTTCTGAGAAATTTTTTTCTTGGCAGTTTTCTTAGAAAACTAAAAATTAAAAACTGGGAAATTGGGTGGTGTATCAGGAAACCAGGAAAGTCAATATACAAATAGCATTCTAACATTGTTTTATTTCTCATTCATGAACTGGTATCCCATTATACTGTTACTGTTAGTATAATGTATTATATACTGGTAAAAGCAATATTTCTCAAGGGAAGCAAAAGCATATTTTCACAAGATTCTAGTCACATAAGAGATACTAATATATTATATTCTTTCTCACTTCCCAAACAATGACTATCCCAAACGATGATGTTTTGCAGAAGGCTAACTGTTATACGGTTAGTATTCATTTTGCTGATTCTAAAGAAAAAGGAGATGATGAGAGAAATTTAAAAAAAAAAAAAAAGAGGTCCATTTAATGTACTTGCATTAGCTTGAGAATTTTCATACTAGACACTGTAATAGAATGATCAAGTAGTGATTGTTATAATAAGTGGTCTTTATGAGCACTGAATATATTTTTGTAAACAGATCCTAACCATAAAAATTAGCAATTTTTTATATATGATATATTCCAAAAACGGTGGTGATATCCAGAGTAAAACTATAATACATATTTCAATAAAATAAAGATCTGCTACATACCCAGAATCCACTTTGATATGTTGTGCATTAAAGAAAAATACAGTTGCAGGAATATGAGTTACATCAAAATAATCCTTATAAACTGGAACATTTTCAAGGTTTACTGTAAATATTTCAGCCATTTCACTTAACAAGCATTCTGTGCGTGACATCTATAGAAGAAAATACATTTTCATTAAAATTTGTTCAGAAAGAGAGATATAAATATTTAATATTTTACTAGAATGTTAACAATTTCACAAACAGAAAAAGTAAAAGATAAATAATTCTGATAATATAAACAAAATAAATTAATTTTTTAAACATATTAACTTAAGGTTTTTTAATTATTTAATTTTTTAAATCTAAAAATAGTAATGTGCTCATAATAAATCTTTTTAAACTACATCATTTCAAAATTAATCCTTGCCACATGGTTTTTATACAATGTTGATAGCATAAATTTACAACGAACAATAATGTTAAAATTTACACACTAAAACCTCTTAATAACCAAACAAAATGAGGTTGAATCCAAAGAGCATCAATTTTAACCTAAACTTCTAATTAGAATATGTGCAATCTTCTCTTGCTTGCTGCTTCTTGACTTTCTTTCATTAAAATTGTTTAAGATGTAAAACAGACCAAATGTGATCAAGAATGGGCATGTAAATTGTGCTTATTAAGTGATACATTTTACATTAAGAATATCCAACATATCTGAATTACCTGAATTTCTGGTTTCAACATTAAATATATATGTCATGTTTTTGTCATATTTTTGTACACACGGGACAACAGCAAACTCACATATGCATGTACCATACATGGGCTTGAGAACACATGGGTTTACATACTTAGGCATTATTTTACTGTTTTGTTTAATGAGATTTAATGATGTTTCCTATTTTATCTTTATTCCATGTCTTCAGTTAACTCAGTAATAGGCTTCAATGTGCTAGATTTCGTGAAAATAAAAGTTTGCCATTAATTTTTATTCAGAGCAATGAAAGTACGCCATTTCTGCTCTAACTAAATTTGGTGTTACATTTTTTTTTTTTAAACCTTAAATCAACAGTTCATCATGTTCATTTGTATCTCTCTCTCTTCTAGTTTCAATATTTTTGAAATTGTAATAGTAAAAATTTCTTTCATAAAATTTTGTAGCAGTTTCTTTTAAATATATTTTTATAACAATAACCTTATAATCAAGGGGGCAAACTAGATTTTTTTTAATATGCTCTTTTGTGTCAAAATCAATTATATTAGAATTAGCCAGAACAGTCTGCCATAAAGCTTCCAAAAATATTCAAAATTTTAAATCATCTTTTTTATTTCTTTGAAACTAAAAAAATCCACATTTCACTATAAATAACAGAATAATGCACAAAAAAGAGCAATTCAGCTGACAAACTGATGTACCAATTTATTTAATCTGTCTAGCAATATGGGCTGATCTTTAGAATATGGTAACTGGTAGTTTGGTGACATTTTGGAGGCGATAAAGGTTACTACCTGGGACTTTGGTAATAATGTGAGCAGTACTCAGTTCCGATTACGCATTATTTTGTGTGAGGGAAATGAGAGATCATGGGATATGTCATGTGATATTAATGGACGAATTATGGTTCTTTAATCGGAAAAGGGGGGAAATCAGGAAAAAATCTGGAAATTTTGTATTTGGCTTTATTCTGTGTTGTGAAACAGTGTTCGTTAATTTTTGGATCCCTGGCCCTAACTACGAATTCGAATGGGTATTTAGTGGGATTGAAAGGGGTAGTAATAACTGTTTCTTTAAGGTGTGCGAGATGAAGTAAAGATTTTTTATTGAGTTATTTATTTTACCTGGTACCTTGCTGTGACTATAAGTATGATTTTAAAGATCCTGAAACAGGCGCACATACGCTTGCTTTTTATTTAGCGAGGAAATAAGAAAAGTTTATCGGACACGTAATCAAGATTCTGAAGAAGATTAGGTAAGTTAGTATTTTTAATTATTTGAGGATATTATTTTTATGCATTGTTCTAAATGTAAGGTGGAAGTAAAGTAATTTGGTATTATTGGAAAATTGTTATTAGCAATGATTTAGTTTAAAGTAATTAGGATTGTAAGCTAATTTTTATTAATTTAATGTATGTGCTTATTTATATTTTAAGTAGTGTTTTTGAATTTAATTATATTTCAATTAAATGATAGTTATTTTGTGAATTTTATGTTTGTAGGAATTTGGTATACGTTTTAGTTGAAGTAAACGTGCATGGAAATAATTTAAATATTTGACACTAAGCATTTGTAATGTTTGCGGTATGAATTCGTTGGTAACGTTTATAATACAATAGATAATTTAGAGGTAAAAGTTTTTGGATATTTTATTTATTTTATACGTGGAAATGTTCATATTTGGAAAGGGTATATACTTTTTCGTTATTAGGTAATTTCATATACGTTCTTTTTAATGGGTTTCGTGAAATTTTTCCAATTTATGAGAAAAAAGGAGTGTACATGGATATGGTGAAGAGTGTGCGCAATGCCATTTTTGTGCAATTCTGGGATTTTTTTTAAGTAAAAATAAGTCGACGTTTACATGGTTTATGTGTATGTGTTATTTTGAAAAACACGTAAGGAGTATGGTATTGTGCACTTTTTCCCAATTTTGCAGTGAATATTTGTCATGATTAAGCAGTTTTGTTAGATAAAATTTCTAGCATAAGTGTAATTCGGCTAGTAGATTGTTGGAAGAAGTGTTCAGTAGATAAAAAGAAAAGAAACATGTCTTTACTTCGTGAAGACAAAATGGCGGCGGGGAAAAAAAATAGAGGGTTGCTGTAGGAGAGTTGGTCGCCAAATTTTCGCCAAGTTACCATAATCTAAAGATCAACCGCAATATGCATCTGCTTCAGAAATGATCGTAAATGAAACTGTACATATAGTAAATTAAACATGGATACAAAAAGACAAACCTCAAATCATGCACCTTGTTCATTACCAAATTTTGTATAAAAAATAGATTGAAGACTAATACAGTAAAAAGTCCGAGATCTGGAGGTGTCAGAACTTCGATCCCCGGATTTGGGATTTTTCTGGATATTAAATTATCAGTTTAAATCTAGTAAGATGACATGTAGAAATTATAAAATTAAAAATATGAAATCATGATTTATGAAATAATGAAGCATTTGTAATCTAAAGAGTATCAAAATTTACACACACACACACACACACACACACAAAAAAAAAAAAAAACCTTAATGTTTATTTGTTTACTTTATTAAACATTACTTTCAACATAAGTTGTTTAAGTTGCTTTTTTTTTTTTTTTTTTTGTGCTAATACTGTCTGTCCGTTTGATTCTACAGACAGATATAAGTTCTTGTTCAGTTACAAAGTTCCAATGCTTAAGTCTTGTGATTGCTGTGTCGAGAATTCCGACTAATTTGTTAATTGAATTTTTCTTTTCCTTCGCTATCGGTAGCAGTATTTTCTGGATCTAGAACCATACTGCAGATTTCGCCATCTGTTAATTGATTGATGACTGAGGCATTGAAACTGCAATGAAAACTTCTATTATATTATCTTCATTTATTACCGCTTCTCCACATTTCTTTATAGCATGCATTAATTGGAAAATTTCACCTTGGTTTGCGATATCCGAAAGCCTTCAAATTTGTGCTATCATCTTCATCGTGAAACATGGTAACTGGTCATAAATTATGCCAAGTATTTTTAAAGTATCTGGAGACACACCCACAATCTCTTGATACTCTACACAGCAGACTGTATGCTAGAATATTTCAAAATTCTTGAATAGTCTTGCCATTATTCAGGAAATTTAACATGAACGTTAAAAATGATACTTTATATTTGCATTTCAGCGTGCACACTATTCCGATATCCATAGGCTGAATGATGGGCTTAGAATTTGGAGGAAATAATAACATAGAGACATCTTGCACTAAAATTTTAAGTGAAGTATTAGCTGTGCTCTTGTCTACAATCAAGACCATTTTTACATCATCCGGTAAACAAACCGTATTCCAAACTCTTTTATTTGCACGATATAACAAGGAAAATTTTTACTCCTTTAAATGGTCGAGGTCATATATTTTTTCCAATTATGAAAAGTTTACACTTGTGGGTTCCTGCAGCATTTGCTTTGTTAGTCTTGCTTTGGAATCTTTAACACCAGTTGCAGCCTTTTCTGTAGAGGTTGCCAAGGTATTTTGTGGTACATATTGTATAGTTCCACCTCTCCTTTGAATAAGGATTTTATCCTTCTAAATGTCAAAGTGAACTTGCAATACAAACTGATTACAAACATAAACGTCAAATCTATGAGGAATGCATAAGTTTGTAGCTTCATAATTGTGGATTAAATGTCAGTGTTTCAATACAATATTGATTTTTAGACTTAAGACATTAAAATGAAATAGATTTAGATGGCACAGTGACTTTTGACATGAATAAGGTTGCCCCTCTGGTCAAAACCTGAGCAGAATAAATCAATCTGTTTCTCAGCATAAAACAAAAAATATACAGTAATGTGGGAAAATCCTGCTCCTTGTATAAATAGATTGTTTATATCCACAAGTCTTCTAAAGCCATCTATTCACTTATTTGGTTATCAGATAAGATATAAAAAAGGCTAATGTGCAGAATCGCTCACATTTGTTTGGTGTCAAATTGTTTGGTGCTTTTTATAAGAGTAAGAAGAATTGGATTTTTGACAATTTTCTTTGACTTTTTAAAAGAAAATAGGTCGATGTGTAATGGATAAAGTCTGTCAAATGCCTTTTTGTCTACGTGTACATGGATACCGCGTATGTGCAATTCTTAAAACTGAGCCAAGCAGTGGGTGTTTCTGCACTTTCACCATAAAAAAATATAACTCTCTCTTAAAACAATTCCAATCAAGACTTGTACAAATTGTTGCAAAGGCTGATACTTGTACAGATTATTGCAAAGGTTGAGTTGCTTCTCCCATTACTTAAGCAATGTCAGTTCTGTTCAACAGTAATTAAATCACTGCATTGTTAGATAAGGTATTCTGAAACCACTGAACCAGTTGTCAAATAACATGCTTTTCATATTGCCTCTTCAAATGTTTTCACTGAAATGCTGTTTTATTTATGGCCAATGTTAGATATTCGAATGCGAGGTAAACTGTCCCTGTCTCAGAAGAAAGATACACCTTCCTCAGTCCTTGGCAAAACAAAAATCGGTACTTTTCCATTTCGCCGCTGCAAATCTCGCCAAGCAGACTTTATTGGTGAAAACACACAGTATACACATAAAATTGTTGACAAATGTTAGTTCTAAGAATTTTTTATTTTGAAGGTATAAACATTTTAATGTCGCTTAAAATAAAAAAGCCTCAGACATCTGATTATGTAAACAGTTAAATAATTGAAATAAAGTTAAATGCCATTTCAATTCGTACGAATAGCTTTACTTCGCTAGTGCATTCTCATTAGAATTGAGAATTTAACCCTTGATTTTGCCTCTTCTATAGTTTCGCCTTCGGGTGAGCGGTGTGATTGCATACTAATTGACTTAATTACCGCGAATGGCCTTAAGGCATAAAATTGAACTATCTGGTGAAAATTCTATATAATTGTATGCCAGTATTGAAAGAAACAAGCAATCTGATAAAAAATGGTTGTGACTTGTTTTGAAAATGTAAAAGTTAACCAAATAAGTAAAAAGTTACCAGCGAGGATATTTCGTTTGGCATCGGTTGTACTATTACTGGCGACTTTATCGCTTGCGCTGGCAAAACAAAAAAGTGTCCAAAAATCAATATTTAAATCAAAATACATGGACTATTCAGAGGTCTTCTCATGATGAGACAAATTTCAGTAACCATGAATCATTAATATTTATATGAAAAAAGAAATTAAGATAACATGTCACTTGCTCCATAAATTATTGTAATTTCTTTCACAGCATATTATAAATGACAGTGGTTAGGACTGCTACCAGTTTGATGATGGTTTTCATGAATGATTTATCGATAATCTTACTCTTGTTTACAAAGTGTGGGCCTTAATTATAACAAAATGCTGATATTTCTTTATTGTATTTATGCCTCTAGCGTAGAATTGGGTGCCCCTTCGATTAGCGACACATTTTGTTCAGTTTTGGCAATGAAAGCCCATTTCTAGTTACCATGATAGTTTTAACTTTGTTTTAGCTTCCTGAAAGTCTCTGATGCTTTTTTTTTTTTTTTTTGAGTGAAAATAGATCAAAGTGTTTATAGTGCAGTGAAAATAGATCGGACACCGAGTTTGTGGAATTCTTTGACTTCTTATTTTGGTTTTGTGTAGCGGCCATCTTGAAATTATACCTTCCTGCCGCCGATCTTGGCGTCAAAAAAGAATTCCTGATTTTTACAGTATTTATGAATATTAATTAAAATACTATACAGATAAAAATAATAGGATATGTAAATAATTCTTTAAATTGTTCATGTTTTTTCCACTCTAATATAATGAACTTTATTATTAGAAAGATCTTATTTCATGAGATACACAAGTGTCAGAAACGGAAAGCAACTATCTACAGTGGATGATTAACACTGTCGTGGGTAAACACAACTTGGTCTCCTCCCTCACATTTATAAAATAGTTTAGAATAGTCTGAAATTTTTCAACATCGAGGTCTTTCTTAATTGAATTATATTTAATAATTACAAACAGATTTGGGAATAATCTGGAACAGGATTCCTATACACTTTCTTGTCATGCGATTTCATTAATGTTTTAGCAGTTCCCCGTTAAAATTCAACTGATTCGGAAAGCAATCAACAAAATTATTTATACACTCTCGTTTCAATGAAATTTTACTACAAGATACAATTATAGTTTGCTTATAGTGAGAAATGTAAACTGCAGGCGCAAAATTTCCTTTCTTCATGAATAGCAATAATCGGTAAAAGAATCTTTTCCTTTAAGTTTCACTAAAGAAAGTAAGTTAAACAACTAACAAATAAAATGCAATTATGATGACTTACAATATCATCAGTCTGCATACAACCAATTTCTTCATCTTTTCCAAATCTTAAAACTAATACACGATCTTTTGTTTTTCTAATAGCTTCATCAACATCTCTTTTAGTTTTCAACTTACGTAATAAACTCATCAGATGGCTTAAATTCTTCCAGATAAATTTGATTATGAATAAAATTCTCGCATTCAAAACACTAACTTACGAAGAAAATCTACATTGTTTACTAAAAATCCGTTGCCAATTATTTGTTGGAAAAATCAGCTTGAAATGAACGTGGGGTCCAGAAGTACAGCGTAAGGAGATGTAGATGAGGTCACATGTGCAGACAGAGAGACATCTCATTAGTTGAATAAATTCGGTAAGTGCATTTTATGTTTAACCATTTACCAATTTTCTTTCACTTAGCATTGAATGCATTCTAACGAAAGTCTCCTCAACTAATTGGAAGGGAACGGTAGAATTGCATTTCCATTGTTTACCTACTAACCGTCTGACAGTGGACAATAATGATATATATAATTAGGCTAGATTATAACAAAAGTGAAATTAAGAACGAGTAGTTGAACGAAGTGTTATAATAGTAATAATTTATTCAATAAAAACTTTGCAAAATTTTTTGCGTTGAATGCATGAGTAAATAATAAAGCAAACTATTTTCCGTGTTAGAAGAAAGCATTCTATTTTACAGTTTCCTACTTTATATTTATATTGTCATACAAATTTTTACAGGTTATGGACTACTATTTAAGTATTCGCTATTGACCTAGCCACTTAGTCAATAAAAATATTAATACCCACCCTGGCATTCAAACGCATGCGCGTTTGCTATTCTATCAAGAATCTGTGAATTGTAGGGTTAATTTGCCACGAGTCGGTAAGTACATCGAGAATTTAAAATTCTGTAAGAATGTTTTCGAATTTGATTTTTTTTTTTTTGATTGATTTCTCTTTCCTGTATTCAGATTTTATAATATTTGTAATTTATAAAATTTGTATCCTTTTTTTTTTGCAAGTTTAATTTTTTTTTCTCTCTAAAGATGTAGTTTAAGTTCAAACTGATCTAAACTACAAAATACAAATTTTTCCGAAAATTATTTTTTAATGATACATGCTGAAATGTTTGACATGAAGTTATTTAAAATTTTTAGGCTCCAAGATGCAGATTTTTGTGAAAACTTTAACTGGGAAGACCATCACGCTTGAAGTCGAAGCGTCGGATACAATTGAAAATGTGAAAGCTAAAATTCAAGATAAGGAAGGTATATAATTTTTTTTTTTTTATATAGCTATGACCCTTCAAGTTGATTTTAATATACTACTAAAACAAAACGTCAATTGATCTATATTTTCTACCTATTAACATCTTAAATAACGGTTTCAGAGTGTGAAGAAATGAAACTTTTAAGTAGATTTGATGGGATTCACTTTTAGTTTTTTATATGCTTACCGATATCCATAACTCATGTAAAGTTTGCAAATTGATGAAAATTTTGTGGAGCTTGATCATAACTTGTAAACTATCTATGCTGTTTCTGTCGGAGTACTTGATAGAAATAAACTAAATAATTTCAAGCGCATGTGGAAATTATTTGATTTTTAAATATTTAGAAAACCATTGTGACACAGAAAAACATAAGTGAAGATGCATAACTGGTTAAAAGTAATCACTCATTTAACAAATTCGTGATATTTTTATATACGAGTTCTGTAAATTTTTTCCTGTTCATTTGAAGGAATTATATTAAGTTATAAAATAATATAGTCTAAATTTTATCTGTAATTTTATAGATTTATGTCTCTCCCTGTGTTAAATTTTGTTTACCTCTGTAATAGCTTAAGATGTGTAAATTTTCAGGTATTCCTCCTGATCAGCAGCGACTTATTTTTGCTGGAAAGCAGTTGGAAGATGGTCGTACATTATCAGATTACAATATTCAGAAGGAATCTACACTTCACTTAGTTCTCCGATTACGTGGCGGTGTTATTGAGCCCAGTCTACGTATTTTGGCTCAGAAATATAATTGTGACAAAATGATTTGCAGGAAGTATGATAATTTTATAATTTATCAGATTTTTATGTATTTATATGTTTAAGTGTAATGTCAATTATTTAGAAATTAACTTTTAAATTTATATGAAAGAGTTCTGTGATATTTAATCTAGTAGAATTGTGAATCTCGGAGAATGTCGATTGGTTAATCAAACACAAGCAAAGGCAATAAATTTATTTAAAGACCCCAAAAGTTTTCAAGTCCTTCTGCCCTGGCTAATAGACTATTAAGGAATGGAACCACTCTGATATGTGCCCTCAAGGTGCCAAATTTCTCGCCTTGGCGCGAAACTCCATGCTGCCATATTGCTATCTAAATTTTTTGTCTACATTTCGAACTTTAAGACTAAAATGTCTCCAAAAACACGATTTTCGCTAATGCAAAAACCACGTTTTAAACACACAATTTAACCTAAAAATCCGAAACAAAAACAAAAAATTTAGATAGCAAAACTGTGAAGTTTCTTACCAAAATTATTTGACAAGAGTCCATGTATACAGCGATATGTTTTAACTTAAAAAAGCATCTACGAATGGCACCATCTAGGCAACGAACGAATTTATGAACTATGCACACCTCGCTTTAATAAATTAACACAAATAAATTTCAAAGAATACCATGTACACAGCGTTCTGTTTCAACTTTAAAAAACATCTACAAATTGCACAATTTAGACGGTACGCACTAATCAACAAAATAACTAAAATAAATTTCAAACAATTCAAAAAAACACCAATAATGATAGAAATTCGTACTAAAAAAACAATGAACATAACATTCTACAAAATAAGAACAAGAATAAAATACAATGCACTTACCATTAATGCTTTTCGAACAACAGAAATACCAATTTCATACTGCCACGTAATCACTATTGTATTTATATGACAGCCAGACACACTATCCAGAAAATTCATACTATGGTTCACAAATAAATAAAATAACAAATAATCGCAAATCCTTACTTCTATCACGCACAGCCAAATAATATCCCATACCTTCTTTCCACATCTCCAAAATACCCATTGCCCCTCAACAGGATCGCCACGACAATATTTCCTTATACCGAACTTCAATTCAACAACTTTCACCATTAAATCTTTTCCCCATAGCTTCTCAGACACAAAGCATGATGGGATCTAACGAACTCCAGCGAAAGATTTTCAACGTCAACAGGGTTGCCATACAACACGTAATCGTGCCAAAAACCAACGCAGAACACATATCGCCACATTTGGTTAAATTAGGGCATATATCAGAGTTGTACCTGAGGAACTTGTATTAAATTTTCTGTTAAGGTTGTATCTGAAATTAGTTTTTGCTGTGATTTTATGGCTAATCTTTGGAATATGGTAACCGGAAGTTTGGCCACATTTTGGTAAGGCGATAAAGGTTACTAGCTAGGACTTTAGCAGTGTACATGGATAAAGTCAAGAGTGTGTGCAATGCCATTTTTGTGCAATTCTGGGATGTTTTTTTAAGTGAAAATAGGTTGTCGTGTACATTAATGTGTATGTGCAATTCTTAAAAACGTGGCAAGCACTGGGCGATTCTGCACTTTCTCCCAATTTCGCACCTAATCTTCGTCATGATTAAGCACTTTTGTTCCATAAAAGTTCTAGCATAAACGTAATTCGGCTAGCAGATTGTTGGGGAAAAAAACGTTGAGTTAAAAAAAAAATGCCTTTACTTCGTGAAAACAAAATGGCGTCAAAAAAAAAAAAAAAAAACTAGCAGGTTGTTGTAGCAGGGTTCGTCTCCAAATTTTCACCAAAAAATCGCCAAATTACCATAATCCGAAGATTAACCGATATCATTTGGCATTTTTAAGTACATTGAAGAAATTTAAATCAAAACACATATCTTTGGTGAAGTTTATTAATTTATTAACTCTTATAAAGTAAGTAAAGCATGTGTAAGAATTTTTTGCTGTCAAGCTGAAATTATAATCATGCCTTTAGGAAATGTTTCTAGAAAAGTATTTGGTAAAAGTGTATTTAAGGGTACCCCTTGGCGGTAAAAGTGTATTTATGGATACCGAATTTGTGCAGTTCTTTGACTTGTGTTAAAATAACAAAATGAAATGCACAAACTTGTTATCCATGTACACATCGACCTATTTTCACTTATAAAAACATCAGAGAATTGTGCAAACTAGGCTAAATCGTCGCTATTCAAAGCCAAAATAAAAAGACATAATTGCACTAACTTGGTATCCATGAACACATCGACCTATTTTCACTAAAAAACATCCCAGAATTGCACAAACTAGAATTTGCACATTTCCTTGAGTTTGTCCATGTACACATCAAACTATATGCACTTCTAAAGTCAAAGGAGCAGCCAACAAAAAAATATATAATCTCAATAAACTATATTTTAAACACCGAAATAACATGAAAAAGGGAAATTCATCTTTGCACTACACAAAGGAAATATCCACTTACCTTATTTACGAATTCACACCTCTAGTCAAAGAAAATTCCTTACTGGCATCCAAAAACTTCTTAAAATTATCTGAACTAGGATCTATACTGGCATCGCCACATAAATTAAAAAAATAAGAGTAAAAAATATCCTTTGTAATGATGTTTGACCATACGTATTTCCTTCCTACAAACAGAACACCTTATAATGGCTGCTAAGTAAACCTTCACTTACACACCAGTCAAGTAATGCTTTTTTCCCCTTTCTTTCCAAATGGTGCAGAAACTTAAATTAATCTTACCACATTCGGCATTTTACCGTCTAAACGACGAAACAAGCAATATACTTTCTAACCACAAGCCGTTACAAATTTACTGCAGTAATTACGTCATAATAGGTTTCCGTAACATTCAACTACAGAGTACCATAAATGATACAACAACTTTGCGATAATACAAGGGGTACCCTAAGTCGACTCAAACCAAATATTCTAGGCATCAAACAGTTTCAATATACAGTCAAAAGTCGTTAATCCGGACTCGTCGGGACTTCGGCGATTCTGGATTATCGATTTTTCCGGATTATAGATCATCAGTTTAAATCTGGTAAGATGGCATGCAGAAATTACAAAATTAAAAATATGAAACCGTAATTTATGAAATAAAGAACAATTATAACTAAAGGGTATCAAAATTTACAAAAAGAAAAAGCTTAATATTTATTTGTTTACTTTATTAAACATTTCTTTCAATGCAAGTTGCTTCGTTTTCATGTGATAATACTTTCTCTTTAATTCTATTAAACAGACATAATTTCTTGTTAATTACAAAGTTCCGCTGTTCAAGTCCTATAATTGCTGTGTTGTTGAGAATACAGACTAATTTGTCAATCGAAATGTTTTCGTTTTCAATAACCTCTGGGTCACTTTCTTTCACTATCGGAAGCGAATTATAATGACGAGGAACTTGATTTAAATTAATCATATCAAAGACAGAGTACATCGAAATGAAATACTACACTTAGTATGGAATATAAAACCAAATAAAAATAAAAACATCTGCCCTGAAGATAAGGATAGTGCTGACATATCAACTTCCAATCTGCAGCGTGAAATTGATAAACAGATTTCGGATTTCAAAACATACTTTCGCTTTGTAGATACAAATTACATATTAGTAAATATATATCGGAAATTCTATTTGACATAATCTTTCTAATCTATCATAATCTAATAATGACGTTTCTGACCCCCCCCCTCTGCCGCAGAGCAGTGTGAAATTGATAAACAGATTTCGGATTTCAAAACATACTTTCGCTTTGTAGTAAATATATATCGAAAATTCTATTTGACATAATCGAAAGTTCAAGCTTACTTTATAAAATTGCTCTAACAGTCTGCAAAAAATAATAAGCCGGATCCAATTTCGAAGATTAAGGAACAACGCAATCTGCAACATTAACTGAATTAGATAACTTTAGCTTAGCGTATAACTCCGTTACACATTAAACGCGCATGCGCACAAACATATTCGCAGCCGTAAGGGTCTTACGCGCTCTCGTAAACGCCTGTGCGCATGCATGAACACGACGCTTGCACAGAAAGTTTGTAGCTTTGAGGTCCGGATTATGGGTGTCCGAATTAACGACTTTTGACAGTACAGTTATTTAGTACCAAAGTATTATCTTTATTGAAGTGTTGCTCACAGTGGAGAATGTATAGACCAATTAAAACATCTCCCTCTCCAAGCTGTAGAGCACTAAAATCACTCAGAAAAAGTTGCTGAATTGTAGAAATCAAAAAATATATTGAAGTTTAGGCAAAAGAAGAATGGTGATGTATAATAGTACAGATAAAATTTGATGATGTTATACTCTATAAAAGGATAAAATCGTAGTATATGGTAGGGCCTTGATGCAATTTTGAAAATTGTCGGCAGCACCAAAATGACTCGTTTACTGTCACTAAATCCCATGTGTACTGTGTATTAGGATTAAACCAATCCAAGAATAAGTCTTAAATTAAGCTAATATGTAAATATTTATCAGACATACATTGGTCAGTAAATGTTGGACATAATTTTGTTAATTTTTGCTTGTATTAATAAATGTCAATTTATGTTTCTAGGTCATCCAAAATGATCCATTCTTAGTTTTGTGGCACTTTGAATAAATATCTGGAACAAATGCTCGTAAAGTATATGTGCATGGTCTTGAGATAAAAATCAAATTCAAAACTAAGCAATAAGAATAGTTAAATTGTGTTCTTAAGTAAAAATTTGTATTTTTGAGAATAAGAATTTCCCCTTTTTTGCATTTCTATTAAAATTTAGGTACTTTTCTGTAACCATAACTGAATTCAGGAATATGTGTGTACACACACATATGTACATACATGAATACATTTCTGAATCTGGTCTTGATAATAGGATATACAAAATTCCCTTGTTTAAAAGCACTAATTTTACCTGTGTATCATCTGAATTTGATGATATTTTTTCTTTTTCATTTTGTCCACCAGCAAATCTAACAAGTACCAAAAAGTGTTTTTTTTTTTAATTTATTTACCATTTTTTATGAGAAATTTAATTGAAATTTAGGGAATATTTAGGGAAAATCATGTGGGATCATCATTATTGAATTTAGTTTTATGCTGTCCACTGTATATTAGTTAAATCTGCAAATGTTTTTTTAGGGTAATGGTATTTAAATGTACGTAACACAATATGTTAAAACATTGAGAAACAACCTTGAAAATGGCTGTTAATGTGCATTTGTATAGGCAGTTATGCACAGTATCTGTGATGAGTATTTTATATGAAAGAGCATTGTAATAGGATTCTTAGCTTGACTTGTGACATTTCTTGGTCACAAGTCAAGGTGATAAGAATACCAGAGTAAGCACTTGTTACATACTTTGCTTAATGTTAACAAGTTTATCTTTAGTTATGTTACTGATGACAAGTAAATTCTGCGCTGTGAATATTGTTTCTGCAGATGTTTCTTCTGTTAGTTTTCTTTCTTTTATGATCCATATAATATTTTCTATTAAAAATAAATTCTGCAATATAAGTTAGAATTAAAAATTCTGATTTTAATTTTGTTAACTTATTTTCATGAAAAGCATTTGTTTTTTTTTTTTTTTTTTTTTTTTTTTTTTTTGTGAGAAATAAAGGAGTTGATTTATTGAAATTTATTTTGTTTTTAAGAAGGCTTTTGTATATCAATGTAAAATGGTTAAAATTAAATTTTCTGTTCTTTGCATATAGCTTGTATTCTAACACTGAATTCCACAAACAGTTATTGCACATTCAGCAGTATTATTTTCATTTAAAATTATTTGCATAGGTTGTAAATCTGTAGTCACAGTTTGGATTTTTCTTATTTCAAACAGTTTTCTCCCCTATTCCTTGCAGCTAGATATTTAAAGCATTTGTTGTGAATGACTAAACTTATCAGTCATTTCGCAGTGTACAATTAGTCAGTTTCCATTAACAGTTGTACTGTACAAGGCGACATTCCAAGCAGTCTGAAAGATGTAGAGAAGTGCTTTAATTTTTTCCTTCATCTGAACTATACCACTTATTTAGAAAGCAAAATATTCATGTTATGCATGTGAAATACTGTTAAATGTTGTTTTAGATGCAAAACAGGACTTGAGAAATTATTTACTGCTATTCTTTCAAAAAAGAATCATTGGGATATTGCAGTTGTACAGTAGAATCTAAAATTTGGTTATGTATTTGATTGCCACGTGATGACAATCTTATGGCCAGAGGAAATCAGATTTGTGCAGTTGAAAAATTTTCAAACTGAACTGTGATTAAATTTATTACCTTAAAATCTGCTTGTCGTTTCCAATGCATTTAATCCTTGCTGGTGTTGCTGTATTAGACTATTGTGATTGCTTCATTTTTTGCATTTCACAGTTGATGGCAATAGTACTCCATTAAAATTACTAATATAAAATCTAACTTCCTGATAAGTATTGATGGGTGACAGCAAATGCAAAAACCATATTGCAACTATAATTGCTGCTACATAGTACTATTTGGTAATGAAAAAACAGAAGGGGGAAATATATTTCAGGCTACCCTTTGGTACCATTCCTGTTTACATGCGATGCCTTACCCAGTAAAATGCTGTCCACAACATAATGCAATAAAATATAATTAAAACAAAAAAATTATAATCTCAGTAAACAGCATTTCCAATCAAACAAAGAAATAATATAATGGAAAAACATGATGCCCAGTGCTAACAGAAAATAATCGACTTGCCTTAATTAGACATTTCTGCCCTCCGTGTATTCAGAACAGCATCCAAAAGCTCCCTAAAATTACCTGAATTAGAATTTGTATACTGCCATCGACATATAAATTCACGAAAATAAGAAAATAAAAAAGATCCTCCATAATATAATGCTGGAATGTCAGTCTGTAGTGTTGGACAAAGGCATCTGAACAATTCTTGCATTTGACCGTATGCATTTTCTTCGTATGAACAGGACACTTATAATGATTATTTAGTAAACCTTTATTTACACAGTCAATTAATGGTTTATTTACCATTTGTTCCAAATGGTAAAGAAACTTCAGATTAATCTTAGCACAAAATAAGCAATGTACTTCCTAAGTGCAATGCTTATTTTGTGAACGCAGAAATAAGCCCTGAGAAATCAAAATCACCATGATCGCACATTACAGCCAATCATGTCATGATAGGATTTCCAAAAATACACAATAAAATCTTCAGATTACGATAAGTGAAACAACTTACTGATAATCCAAGGGGTATCCCAAAATATAAACTACCTAAACAGAAACTAATTCAGAAGTCAAACAACAAAAATCAGCGTTATACCTACAAAATTTTCACAGGACTAGTATTTTGTAGGTATAACGCTGATTTTTGTTGTTTGACTTCTGAATTAGTATTTATTCGGCATGTTATTGTGTCTTAATTACCTAAACAGAATTTTGTATTTACCATTCTTCATTTCCTTTATAATATGCAGTAATCACTCCAAGACATTATCCAGTGTTCTTTAATCATGATGTATAATAAAGGTATAAGATTGCTTTAAAAGGTTATGATTTTATAGATGCATTTCAATTACATTATCAATTCACATTTTAATTTACTTTCATTGCAGGTGCTATGCACGTCTTCATCCCAAGGCTACCAACTGCAGAAAACGAAAATGTGGCCATTGTAATAACTTGAGACCCAAAAAGAAGCTGAAGTAAACTTCATGTATCATATTTATGTTCAGAAATATGACAGTGGATTGAATGATGAATAAATAAAATTATACTGTTTCTTTTTTGTGTTTATTTACTTCCATTAATATAAAACCACTCACATTACACATTAAATTTTATATTTGATTTTAGTCAAAGTGAATGTTTAATATAAATTTACTTGGTCTGTAATGCAATCATAATCAAAATATATTTAAAGTTAAGGTTTATATATAACTACAAAAAAAAAATTTTTTTTTTTTAACATAGTTAGTATCACAGAATATGAAAATGTGAAGTTTTACACACAAAAAAAATTAAATTAGTACATCTAAGTTTTAATCGTTTTATCCACATGAAAGAATACTGATGACTTAATTAGTGAAAATAGATTTATTCATTCACAGGGGATCTAGTGCACACCAAATGTAGTATGAAATTTTGCCTACATTTTTGAATTTATAGCTTTGTGTTAAGAGTTAAATTTGAAAAACTTGTTTTATGATTTTTTTTTTTAAGTACGATTATGTTCAATCTATTTAAGTAAATATGTTATAGAAACAAAATATTCAGAGAAACTTTTTTGAATGCAGAATTAATTGCTTAAGGTATAAAAATTTTGGAGATAACAATCCATATGTATTAAAAGTGGTAAGTAAAGTGTGAATATAAACTTTTGGGAAAACTTAATTTTTTAACAAATGCACTTTATAAGATGCTACTATAAATGTTCGCCCGTTCGTAATGTAATCCTTTTCATGAAAGAGTACTACATGTTTGGCTAGGAAAAGCACTTTTGAGGAACAAAAAAAGGGAAGGTAATTTCTATCGAGTTTCGGCTTTTATGCTATTTCATTAATTATAATGTATAGTTAGGTATGAGAGAGGTTAACATTTAGCTTTCGAAAAGCGTATAAGAACACTCAATACCCGAGATTATAATAATGAAATACTATGTCGCAGAGCGCACAAACCGCTTCGGCGTTAAGGTCACGTGTCACGAAATGCATTATGGGAAACTTCTGGTAAGCAAGATGGCGGTGGTACCACAAAGTATGTATAATGGTTCTGTACCAAATTTACGTCTGGATTCTCCAGATAAATGTTTTGAAGATGAAAAATCTGGCTTGCTTTTAGAAGAGGTTTGTATTATTGTAGCTTGCAAGTAATTGACTGTCTATATATTGCTGTAGAAATTGTAAAGAAAAATACACATTGTTTTTGTATGCTTATATAGCTGTGCAGTCATCGTTCAATAAAATATTTTTTTATGCACATGGTAAATGAACTGGATAATTAGTAAGTGAAATGAACTTTTAACATTATGAACATTGCAAAGTGGCTAGAATGTTTGTTATTTCTGCAATAGACAACTCGTTTTTGTGACGCATTATTGCATATACAGTGTCTAACATTTATGGTCCCTATGACAACAATAAAGTCCGATCTTAGCTGAAAACGGTCAGCTTATTCTGTCATATGTATACAACTTAAATCATGTTTAGTAATTATTTAATGTCATGAGTATATGAATGCGAAATTTCAGAACTTTCCTGTATTCTGAAATACAAAGTTAATATTTTCATTTATTTTTGTGTTAAGGTGTTCTAAATCGAGCTGTAAAGTACTTCCGCCTTTTATCGTTATATTGTTTTGATTAGATATTTATTTGTTGTGTGAATTGTTACGATTTAGTTATTTGGGAATTTATGGTAATCATTAAAATTCTTTTTTCATGTGGCAGAATTTTTTTTATTTACAAAGTGACATAATTTATGGTGTTTTAAAGTTTTTTTTTTCCTAAATTTTTAGATACTTTTTTTGTAACAAAGATTGTTTCTCCTGTAAATTAAAATAGTATATGAACTTAAGACTATGTATAAAATAGTATTGCTGCTGCTATTAGTCATATTAATTTTTTTATGGGAAGAAGTAATCAAAGCATCACCATAACATATTCCCAGTTCTAGTTCTTTAGGTTTAATTTAAAAAATTTTGTAGATAATTTATAATTTAAATTTGATAGTTAAAGTAATCACTTTTGTGGGTTTGAAATGACAGATTAATAGTTTTTTCTCAAATTTCAAAACTGAATGTTTCTATAATTAGAAAGCTAAAAGTTTTTATTACATATATAGAATGTGATTTTTTGATATAGCAACAGAACAAAATGTGTAAAGATAAAAATAAGCGTGCGAGTTTTTGATGGTTTCTTTATCTTGCTGTATGCGTTTTAATATGTACAAAATTAACCCGTTAATTATAACAAATCATATGAAAAACAGTCTTTTATTTATTGCTATGTAAACTGCATTTTACAAGTTCTGAATCTATTATTTTATTAATAAAAAAATAGCAAATTCTGTTTATTTACTTATGTATATAGAGGCCTGACTCCAATATTTTCAGCTCCATGTCATTAGTACAGTTGATATTCTGTAGAAATTAAACATATTAATAATTTATAGCAAAATATAACTTTATTTTTTGTCAGCTGTGAGAACAGTTCAGCCGGTGCCTTCCGTAAATCGGATTCCTGTGTAGTGTATGCCTTATGCATTTGTGGTTTTGGTTTATTTGATTATGACAAAGAATTCGATGGCTATCTGCTTAGGGAAAGAAATGCCTTCATGGAGGATTTCACAGGGAATCTGACCCATATGCATGTTGCACATCCCTAAATTTTGCAGTACCATTCTGTTATCAGAATCGGATTCAGGTATCACCTAAAGCTGATAATTTGACGAAAAGTTCGAAGCATAAAAATTAGCGTCAAAATATTCATGATACAGTCAAGTTGAAGAAAAATTTAAGGAATTAACAATTATTCATAGAATTAGAAATTTTTAATCCCCCCCCCAAAAAAATCAGGGAAAATCGTTTAACAAATTAATATTAACGCGGAGTTAACTGTGAATATCATTTAAAATGTCTGAAGACATTTGGGTTTTAGTAAGCTTTTGCCGCCACATAAACTCAATTAAATGAGAATCTAATTGGTTGTAGTAAGTACCGCTTTGATGTTTGTCATTTTGCCAAACTTTGAAATCTTTCAATAGTTTGCGCAAGACAACCATTATTGAGACCAATAAAATTATATTTATAGTTAATGCAGAAATGTTCAAATCTGGCCTCTTTTAATTTTTTAGTGTTGTACTCCTTTCAGCAGTTTCAGTATACAGTGACTGCCAGAAAGTTATGTACACTGTTTAAGGAAAAAAAACTATATATCATATTTTCTAAATTACATTTAATTATTATTCAAGCATGTGTTACAAACTTTCAAGTAAGCATATGTTTACTTGTTCAAAATGTTGGCTATTGGCAGCCAAATACCTAACAGAATGACAAGCAGTCACTGCAGCTGTCAATGTATCAGTGGAGACTGATGCACATGCGTCTTTAATCTTCTGACGTAGGTTCTTGAGCATGTGAAGCTTACTTAAATATGCTTCATCTTTCACAGTTCTGAACAAGAAGAAGTCCATGGGATTAAGATCTGGCAAACAGGGAGGGAACTCAGTGGCCCCTCTTTGTCCAATCCAATATCCCTGCAGATTGTCATTCAGGAAAGCTCGTACTTCTACGTGGTAGTGGGGTGGGTCCCCATTCTGTTGGTAGAAGACCTTATCATATCCATAAAGCACATATGTAAACCTGCTAGAATTAATGTATCTAATATTTGCAGGTACGCTTCTCCAGTGACAGTACCATCACAGAAGAAAGGTCCTATCAAACCCTGAGCTGCAAGTCCACATCAGATAGTAACCCATGGTAGATTTATCAACATGGATGAGTGGATTTTCACATGCCCAGTAGACACAGTTATGTTGATTCACTGTTCCATTTAGTTTAAACTGGGCCTCATCAGACTATGCTTCTTTTGTTATAAACTGTTTATCGTTGGTTACTATTTGCTGATACTATTCACAAAATTGCATTTGACGATTGAGATCATCATTGTCTTATGTAACATTTCCACTTAGCGAGCGTTTTTCAAAATTTGTCGTACACTTGTAGTGCTAGTCCCTACCTCCTGCACATTGCATAGCGGACTTCTGTGTTGACATTTCAAACTTTTTCAACATGAGAGCCGACTTGAGCTGTATTGCTGTTGGCGTTCTTCCCAGTCTTCCTGTGTGAATATCGTAAATCATTCCATGTGCCTCAAACTTGTCTACAATGTGTTTGATTGTTAGGTGGGTTGGTGGTTCTAATACCAAACTGCCCTCTTCCCTGATGCTGCACTTTGATGGCATTCTGAACACTTCAAAATGTACTTACACTGCTCGAATGTCAAGCATGTTCCTGCCATTTTCTTATCTCACTAACCGTGCTGACAATACCGACACCTGTTAGTCGAAAAACCATACTACAACATACTTAAATTTCAGAACAATTATCAATGCCAGTATCCTGATACAGGATGACAACGAGTGTCTACATTTTTGACAAAGCTCTGACAGAGTAGTTAGGCATAGCAACTAAAAAACATTCTTTGGCAAATTCCGCTGTACACCCACTGGGGAAGAAGAATACGACTAACATCTTTTCTCAGCTTCGACAATATTACCAGCACCGCCTATTTTAACTAATGGTAGCGACATTCATGCATAGCCTCAGACTTCCATTATGTAAGTGCTGCAATCAACAACAGTGCAGTGATTCATATCAAGATGATATTGACCAAATTCAAGGGAAGTTAACTGTAAACATCATGCATAAATGAAACAAATTACCTTTAAGAAACTGATTCTCTATTCTTCAAACCAATTTTGAGAAAGTAATATATTTTTTTCCTTTCCTTGCACATCATATCTTCACATCACCATTTCATGCTTTCTTTGAATTCAAGTACAGCTTTCATTTTATGCTTTTTCGAGCACTTTCTTTCCTCATTCCTAAAGAAATTTTTTGGAAGTTGTTTCATCATAGATATGTTGAGAATTTTATATTGTTGATGAGTACAAAAATAATAAAAACACAAGTTACTGTTACATCTTTAGAATTTGTATTCACCTAGCTAATTTTGAAAAAACATTCTTTTTTAAAAAAAGAGTAAACTTTGTAATAACTTGTAACATTGGTTACTTAATATTAACCAATTGCTTGATGAGTTTAGCAAAACGTGGTTATGACATCAGTCCCAATAACAGAACAGTACCAATTTTGCTACTTAGTGCTCCTAAGTTCTAAAATTTTTCCTCTTCATAAGATACCTTATTGCTGCCACATCACTTGCTGCTCTGGCAGAGTGGGAGTTAGCATTTTTCTATCTGACCTAAACAATAAGTGAAGTTACAATGTTGCCATGTCAACATGTTGTCTTACTAGATTTAAATTGATAATTAAATACCTGGAAAGTCCTGATGATTCCAGATTTCAGACTTTATGGATATAACGCATGGTGCTGTGAGCCATCCGGCTGTCTGTACCTGTTCTCATCTGTCACCTGTATACAGAAGCATGAATTGTCGGAAATGACTTGTGTGACTCCTGCGTCCTGTATCAACAATTCGTCATACCACTGTAGGTGCACCTGTCTCTGCAGCAGCGTTAAGAGCAGTGCAACTATGGTCACCATGTTGACAGTCTGTGATGCTGTAGATTTCATCACACTATGTGTGGATACTTGCTGTCATGCACACTAGACTAATTCCTGCCTCAGGTTATGTGATGCGGATCGACAAATCCTTTCAGCCGTTATTGGCCTAGGACTGCTGAGATCATGCATAATGTTCAGTCTGCCCTTCCTGGATACATCAATTTCATATTTACCTTATTAACTTAGTATTAATTTCTAGATAGTTGATATTTTGATACGTGAGAGTATTTAAAATCACCTCTGCATTTGAATCTTTATTTGATCAACACTGCTAATTTTCTCATATATGCACCTCTTCATATTTGATGATCTCTGCGTATGAATCTCCTGAGGTTGAAATTCACATGATGCTCATTGATTTATTTAATATGCACGAGACTTCTATTCTGTATTTTTATAATTTATATTCATATAAATGATATACAGTACAAAGTCCGTAATCCTGATTCGTCGGGACTTCGGTGATTCCGGATTAGGGGTTTTTCCAGATTATAGATCATCAATTTAAATCTGGTAAGATGACATGCAGAAATTATA